GGGCAAAAGGGACAGGGGTCACCTTTGTCTAGTGCCCCATTGTAGAGGAAAAAAGCTCAGAGAGCCAACCATTGGTCCGAATATGGGTCACTGGAGCCTGGTACAGCAAACGCAGCCACCAAAAAAAAAAAAAAAAAAAAAAACACAAAAAAAAAAAACAACAACAACAACACGAGGCCCAAAACCAAATCCAGTACCTCCGAGAGAAAACCCCACGCCACGGAGTCAAACACCTTCTCAGCATTAAGGAGGCAATAATCCTGCGACTGCCATTGGAGTGAGTAGTCAATAGATTAAGGAAAAGTTGGCAAAGATTGAGGTCAGTACCTTTGCCAGGCATGAAGCCAGTTTGATCCACCTGAATTACACACTCTAGGAATTTAAACAGCCAGTTGGCAAGAGGTTTGACTAAGTTCTTAGCATCTACATTGAGTAGAGATATGGGCCTATAAGAGGCAGAATCTACAGAGTCCTTGCCAGGCTTAGGCACCAACACAATAATGGCCCAAGACATGGACTCCAGGAGAAGAAGAACTGATCGAACAGGGAAGTGAGCCTGGGCACGATAAGTTCTTGGTATAGGGAGTAGAATTCCACAGGAAGTCAGTTCACACCTGGTTGTAACTGGGCTATAGCCTCCTGCACATCTTCCAGGGTGATTCCACGGTCAAGGCTAGCTCTAACGTCTGGGTCAAGGGTAGGGAAGTCAATCTGGCCAAGGTAGGCACCAAAGTTAGATGCTGTGTAGCGCCTAGAAACTGTAGCTGCGTTATAGCCAGCGCGTCCCTGACAAAATCGTAACGGTTAATGGTGTTCCTTTTGATCAGGTGACAAGTTATTTGGAACAAGTTTTGCACACTTTTCTTATATTCAAATCCTGAGTCAGGATTTAATGAACAGTTGACTTGGTACACATCCCATTTCCTCTGCAATCACTGATAGTGAGCCATTGGTCACGGCTGAGAACAAACCTCTGCATCCACATTCTGTTCAATTTTTGACAAAGAGGGACGTCCTGATTGTTGTTTGTTTCAACACCACCTCATTCTTCCTTGAAGGCCTTGTGCCATCAGTACGCTTGTGCAGATGATAGTGCAGCTTCTCCATACGCTTTCCTCACCATTTCCAAAGTTTCTAATTTTTACCCAATTTCACACAAAATTTTATTGCATACCACTATTCCAAACTTGCATGCATTTTTCTCAATATGAGGCACTTGAACAGGGTGTCACAAAAAAAAAAAATATATATATATATATGTTTCAAAACTCTGGCAGGGCTGGAATGCAACTGATCAGTGTTCAAACGTATACCTGGCACCCCACCCCAAGTGACTTTGGCCAGCTTCTCCCTTCAAAAGAGCAATTCTCGAGCATAGGAACTTCATTCATCATCATATTCTGGACACATCTTTTATATATACCATAAATCACCCCCACTTCAATAAGCAGGTTTACTGCTGTTGCACGCAGAGTACTACACAATCCACATTCAAATACTGGGTTCCCGCAGCCTGCTCATGAAAACAATCAGTAAAATGTGGGGGTTTTTTTGGAGGTAACTTCCCAGCATCAAACTGGCCAGACTTCTACAATAACCTACTGCAAACAGCACTAATTATGCGTTAAGTGTGGTAACCCCTAGTAACCAATACACAGTCATTCACCAGTCTGGCGAAGTCTACTGAAATACGAATAGTTCTGAGCCGCCACAATTTACCGCTTTCCAGTCTGCTTTATAACATAGGTCACATAGATGAACATGCTGGTAATTGTACATTCTGCCTTTTACATTGAACAATGGCCACAAACAAGACAATCGAAAGTAATCGTGCTTCAGTACAGAATGCGGCATTTTTGCGCTGGCGGTTGTTTCAAGGTTACAGGATGCTACAGATTGTTCTAATATTTTATAGAGTGTCACTGTCTCCATGGCAATGAAATAAAAAAATATTGCAATGATTTTCATGGAAAAGATAATATCCTTCAACTGTATAACAAGACTCTAAGGTATTCAATTTTTGCTGAGCCTTTAGTGTAAAAATAAAAATGTAAAGAACTTAGGGACTTCTATGCTAAACAGTACAAAAATACCCAGTTACTCTGGTTGGCATTGTATAGTAGAGTACAGTACATGTTTTGCTGCCTGAAAATTGGAAATCTTTTGGGAAGCTACCATATACAGTATATGTTACCACTGGAGAAAACCTCAAATAAGGTAACATATGGCAGTATACACTAATAGACAGACTTTTACAAAATAAAAAATCAGCAATAGTTTAATCACCTGCCAAGCATTTTCCTAGCATATGGTAAACAAACAGTATCAGACATTAAAAGTGGATGCCTGGGCAAAAAACATATGAAGTACCTCTATGCAGCATATGCACATTGTGCCTCTTAAAGCGGATGTAAACCCTTACATATAAGCAGTGAAGTGAATAGCCTAAGATGATACACAGTGATGAAACAAATCATCCTACATAAAGGTGTACCTGTCTATCTGCAGTCTTTTCTTCCAGCTGAAACTACACACTGCAGAATTCAGTGAGGGGAGCTCTAAGAGCTGACTGGAGGAAAGGGACACACCCCCTTCACACAGCACACAGGAAAAGAGCTGAGGCTGTCAATCACAGACTGTGTGCTCCCTCCCCGTCACCATTTTTCTCTTGGTGTCAGGAAAGCTTGTCAGAAGTGATTCATGGTGATAGAGGAACAAAGCAGAAGACAGAAATGACACTTAATTGCTGAGATGTGCTTTGTTCATAATTTCATGGCTGAAGTTTACCACCACTTTAAATATGTTGAACCTATAGAAAGATTCTGCCAGAAATCTAGTGCGCTCTAACTTCCTTGTCATGAGCTGACAATGTTGCCCCAAAAACCCAAGCAATGCTGTTATCCCTGCCCGACTTCTCATATGTCTAATATAATGGGGAGGATGTTTTGTAGTCCAGTAGGGGAGAACTCGGGCAGGGCTGGCAACTCTAGTTGGGATTTCAGTGAAGCACAATAGCGTTGTCTGCTCACTACAGGAAGTTAGAAGCACAAAACAGAATTCTTGTATGACAGTCTAAACATGTATTTGTTACACAAGCCTCAAAGTAAACCATAAACTTCATTACTTTCTGAGACTGAGCCAAGGCCTTCCTTCCCAGACACTATTGCTAAAACCTTCCCGCTATGAGCTGCAAAGGCAGAGCTGTCATTTCAGAAAAGAGTGGGCAGGGCTAGGTGTACCAGGTAATGAGTGACCGGCAATATAGACTTGTGTAACAGTAGTGACAATGCTGATAGCCGTGCCCCTTGTAATGTTTTATCCCACTGTAGTGCAAGCAGGCACCACCTGCATGAGAGTGGTGCAGAATGGCTGTCATACCATCACAGGAAGCTGCATTAGATCAATTTCACTGGCAGGATCAACAAATATGTATGAACTTTTGCAGGGGAGCCAAGAGAAAATGGTTAAGTGCAGATTGTTGTTTTAATGGGAGGCCACAGCTCTACTTTGGAGAGACAAAGCATAGGGAAATGCATGTACTGCAAAGATGTATTGCATATGTGTTGGTTTAAGTAATTAAGTCCGTCAAAGGGATATGCTGAAAAAACCCTTCTGAATGAGCAGTTGCACCCATAGACAGAGGTGGTGCTGCTACCCTATTAACCGTGGTTGCAGCATGAGGATTGGGCCTTTTGGGGGTTAAAGCAGACAGTGAGGAGGTAATACAACACCCCCAGCCACTTGTGAGCCGTCCTTTGATGTTGTAAAGTGGTGAATCGCTTTTCAGGACATTTCTGGCCTCTCTAGCCACGTGTTAGATTGCTTTTTGTACTTCTCAAAGTAGAGGTGAAAGCATATCCCTGTGTCCCAGAACATGGGGTGCAGGCCTCTCCTGATATCAATCCAAGGGACTAGTGAATGTAAAGAGGAAAGGATTGCCGCTACACCAGACCAGCCCAGGTGAAAAAACTATAGAGAGCAGCCTCAGCTAACATGTCTCCACCAAACCACACACCCTGAAGCATTCTGCCCTGCCCACTAGATTAGATTGGGGGGGTCCTATGCCTATACTGTAATTTAGAGAGTATAAAGTGCCCCCGCCCCCCCATGTAGTGGTGAACGCATAGGTAGGTCCCACCCACATATGTAAACAGTGTTCAAACCACACATGAGGTATCACCACAAACGGCAGAGCAAGAGCAATAATTCTAGCACTGCACATCTTCTGTAACTTTAAACTGGTAACCTGTAGAAATGTTTAAAGCTTCGCACATGGACATTTTTAAAGTACCATAGTTTGGCGCCATTCCACAAGCATGCAAAATTTTAAAGCATGACATGTTTGGTATCTATTTACTAGGCGTAACATCATCTTTCATATTTTATAAAAAAAATTGGGGTATAGATATATTGTGTTTTGTTTTTTTTATTCATTAAAAAAATTTATTTTCTATCAAAAAAAAAAAAAATTGCGTTTGAAAAATATATACATTTTTAAAAAACTGTCCATTTCAGTTTTGGTTTTTGGCCAAGTGCATCCTGAATTTTCAGTACCAGAATTTTCATTACGGTGCAACAGTACTTTCTACTATAAAGAGTATAGTCCATAGTTATAGTCCAGAGTGAGGCTCCAAGGTAGGGGGAGCTGATCTGAGAATTATGATGGAAGATATCATTATTGAGGTTAATGAAAGAATTAAACAAAAAAAAACCCGCCAATGCAGAAATACCAGCGTCAGGCATAAAGACGACCTAGTCTTGTTAGATCTTTGAGACTATGTGATGATATACCTCACCAGGAGGCATCATTTTTGTATTCAGTGATGTGTATAAGGTTCAGCAGTACTGCATGTGGATGAACAGCATAAAACAGTCTGGCTGCACTACAAAAACAATGACTTTTCGATGCAAAATAGTCGACTTGTATGGAGATTTGTTGCAAGTATATAATTTCACATGGCACAATCATATCCATCAGAAGCTGCTAATTAGATACTTACATTCTCATGTTGCATGTGCTTCAAAAGTCTCAGTTCCCTATATGCCCGTTTTGCAAAGAGCTCAGACTGAAAAGGACGATACAGCTTCTTGATGGCTACTTTTGTTCCAGTTCTATTGTCGATAGAAGAGCTGTAACACACAAACATGTAATTACAAGTTACATTACATAACCAAAGGCAACTGGGAAGATCTGAAAAAGCACAAAAGAATGAAAAAAAAACAAAAAAAAGAAAAAAAAAAAAAAAAAAACCACACACACACACACACTTTCCAAATGCATCACAGTTGTGTTTCTGTACAGAAAAAGGACACCGCCTCCTATTAAACATTGCAGATTTTGCATAATTAGCTGCATTCTGTTTGACTTTAAACTAATGAGAGTGAGATGGGCTTTAATTAGCATGCAATATAAAAAAAATGTACAGTTTGCCACATTAACGAAACTCCATCTCACCCAGCCGGTGTGCTACCCACACACAGCACGGCTGTCCATGAAGCAATAATTCACGATCTGTTCCAGAAATGATAGGCTGGTGTCACGCAGGAACAGTTTAAAACTGGGGGTGGAATGAAAAAGTCTGATGCACACAGTGCTATGATTGATCCTGGATTATAATTACAAAATATGTAGGACACGCACTCCCGTAGCTGTATCAAGGTATTAGGAGCACTGAAAGTGCACGTTATAGTGAAAGAAGCGTATGCGAGTGACTTCTGTTTTAGGACGGTAAAGCTTTTTTTTTTACGTTACTCCAACGTAAATGGGATTTCACAAATAATCACAGATACAAAGTTGCCAGTTTGCGCCTTGTGGCGTTAGAGAGAATATAACCCAAATGGCAGGAACTGATAGAAAGATATTACAAAAAGATAGCAGATGGATTTATAAATTGAAAGTCTGCAAGAGACCAGGTTTAAAAGAACAACTAAACTCTGGAACACACTGCCAGTTTTTTTTTTTCGTTCAACTTAACGGTTGGTACAAATCGCTGTACCAACACAAGCAATGTTGGCGTGGAAATCTCCATGGCAGCCTTTGTATTCTGACAGGGAGAATCCCCCAGAATACACTTATCCATGAGCGTGGAGCAGATGCTGGTTTTCCAGTACGTCCCCTTCTACAAATACTGATCATTAGACCAGCTTTTGGTCAGACAGACTGTTGCACACAAACTGCTGCAAAGTGACCAAGTCCTTCAAAAGGTCAAATTGCTTGCAAAGGGAGTTGCCCAATTCCCTACATACAAGTCCACTATATAACACACAGCTAGGCTGGGAATAATTGTCTCGTGCTGCAATATGCATGTCTCTGTGGTCAGCTGGGTGCCATATCATATAATAGAGGTACCCATGCTGGGAAACCGCATCTTTAGTTAAGTATTCTTATTATATTTTCTTTTTCTGTATCTGTCATTAATTGGAATAAATGTTTTACTTATAAGTATTTATGTGATCTCTAGTTGCCCATATCAAACACAACCCCAAAACAGTAACAAAACACCACCAGCACTCCTGGTTCCTCCTCCTTGACCAGTGTCCCCAATAGCATGTCCCTTGATGGCTTGCTGTCACTAGAGGTGGTGGACTGGGGAGACGCTGCAGCAGTGGGAACATGATCCACCCTAAAAACAGGTGGAACATGTAACATGTTCCAAAAGGTGAACTTACCCTTTAAAGTGTATATCTTGGCAAAACGTTTTTGTTTTGGATAGAGTAGGGAAGGGTTAGAATCTCTGTCAAGTAAATATTTTGGTCTGTGCCCCCATTAGGCAGATTCACTCCTTTATTTGTGCTGGCAATTTTTTTGAAAATGAAAGTGAGAAGAAATTTTAAATTTTAGAATTGTACCCAGCACAAGAGTGGAAGGGAAATCTTCCACTGGGGACATCTCTCTAAAATTTTCTCTTACTGTAGGAGATTTACTATAACTTCCTGTTGCATCTCTGGGACAGGAAGCGAAGGGACACAGGCAGAAAAAAAAATAAATAAACTGGCCAAGGTTTCCACTCTTCCTTACTCTATCCAAAACTAAAAGGTTTTAGCTTTACATTGCTTCTTAAGCATAAAGTGGCTGTAAACCACAGACATGAAATATGAACAAAGCATATCCCTATAGTGTGTAATTGCCTCATTCCAGAGTATTAAGTGTCATTTCTGGTCTGCTGCCTCCTTCCAGTGTTATCAGCATAAGACACATCATGATTTACACCAAGAGAAAGAAAAGGTGACAAGGGAGGAACCTCCAGATGATTGACAGCCTCAGCACAAGAGGAGAGTGAAGCATAGGCGTTTGCAAGCATGCACTGCAAACAGCACCTAGCCACATGCACTTGTATGGCAAGAGGTATATGCATCCATCTGGGTACAGGAAAGCTCTTGGAGATTTACGCTAGGCATAAAACAAAAAAACAAAAACACTATAGTCCATGTGCATAAACCCTTAATCTTCAGGCTACACTCACATACTGTCACAGCACAGCATGTGAACACACAAAAACTGCATGTCACGGTTGCACTGCCATTCATTGTTAATGACATCCCAAATGCGGCAAGCAAGGCATGCGGATTTTCATATGGCAAAACATGTGGCTAAAAAAATGCAAATCTTTATCAAGATACTTTAAACTTCCGCCAGGTTTCCCGTGTGTAGGGCAGCTTATTGATACAAATGTGTTCCCACATGTACACAAAAGTGCATATGCGTGACGCACTATGTAGTGTTAGTGGGGGCTTGTTCACAAAACAGACTAGAAATTGAAGCTCCTTTCTCCTGGCTACTTTTAGTAGGAGGGCTTAGCAGCATGCCAGCATTCGAATGTAAACAAACAGCATCTCTGTTGTGATATTTGAGGACAAATGACTCCACAGTAACTTCAGTTACAGGGGTCAGTAAATCATTGTTTTAAAGCTTTATTTTAATGCTGGTTAAGATTATGTAAATACTTAAATGCCCATACTCTGGGCACAGGTGTACTTCACATTCATTGCTCAGTTACCTCTTAACAGATCAATAGCTAGCAGAATAAGTCACCAGCTTTGTATCTCAGTGTCTAGGTCAAATGCATGAAATTTTTTTTTTATATTGACCACAACTAAAAATCTGCATATGTTAAGCCTGTTAAGCCCTAGCGACCATTACAGAAACAAATTTGTTTCAACGGTGAAATTGAGGTCAGATTATTCTAACCCGCATTCTATAAAGAAACACACATCAGCACATTAGACCAGCTACCATATTCAGTTTTGAATTCAAAATATACATTGATGGATAGCTAGTATGAAAAAGCAAGCAATCCATAACTATACATAATTTATTAGCTGAAAGTTATGTACAAAACCATATGCAGACTAAGCATAGATTTACACAAAGAAACAGAACTGAGTGAGCTAGGTGGATATGTGGATACAGGTGCTTAGCTGGCACAAAAAGCTAAGACATTTAGGAGGTATAACCCTTACAATTTACATTTCATATAGAACACATGCAAAACAGATCAGTTTGATGGAAACAATGTGTTAAAGTAGAATTCCTACCTAAGGCTAGGTTTACATCTCTGCAGCACTGCGAGCCGTGCTTTGCACTGGCACAGCAGCCCATTCATTTGAATAGGCGGCCATGCCTCCTGAAACGCAGGGAAAAGTCCCTGCAGCATGTTAGGAATCGCAGCCCACACAGGAACCGCACAGCACAGTGTGGGAGTGATTTGTACTGCGTGAGGTGTGCCATTAGCAATGATGTGCTAACCTGGCCTAATACAAACTAGCCTTAAAAATATCCCTTGCCCCCTACTGCGACCTATGCAGATTAGCCTGTGTGAAAAATAAACAAAATTTAAAAATTGTATACGTACTTAATTTTAGCCTACTTCAGTCCAGTCACCTGATCTGGCTCCTCTGTGTCAGTCATCAGCAGCTGCAGGGAAGAAGGGCCAGCAACAGCTGGGGCATGGGAGCCTATTGGCGATGTCACTGCTCCCAGAATTTCTACCCGACATTTAGCACTTCTCTCCTGCAGCCGCCGTTGACTGACACAGAGGGATCAGTTAATTAGCATATGTAGCAGGAGGGGGAGAGAACATTTTTTAGACACGTCAGTGTTAGGCAGGATCTACTTTAATGCTTTCAAAAAAAATACCTAAATTCCCTACAGGTATAGTTTAGAATTGTATGCGTACACAGGGCAGCCATATTTGCTCATTACATGTGCAGGTTCTGCTTGATACTTTGCAGTACTACACAATCACTTCACTGCTACTTCATACAGCACTAGAGTTCAACTCATATAACAGCATATAAACCAATATGGCTTAACTCTATTAATTTTCTCATACCACGAAAGCCAATGACACTCATATGTATGCAAAACATTAGCAAAAATGCATTGGACTTTAAAGTGAACAAGTGGCCTTTTTTAAATATACTAAGCGGGTACTTTTTGGCACCTTACTGAGACTATTCAGACACCACTGATCCCCCTTGAGAAGACTGACCAGTATAGGAGCGTGTTGGGGTTCATTTTGGGCAGGATTTACTACTTTGAGAAATTCTATTGTAAATTGCCATATGAACCTGCCAATTAAAGGAGTATCAGTTTGTAGAACACAAGAACTGACGGTACACCAGACCCTATATTTTAAGAAGTGCAATGTTTTAACTTGTATTAATAAAGTACCCAATACCAATACAAATCTGTTGGCTGTATTTTTTTGCTGCATTAAAGTCCTAAGGAAAGAATAGAGAAATAATATTGTTTGGTTTTTGGGGATGACAAGCATTTACCTTATGTGGTGATATATTTGCTAGTTGGTGGCATTACAAACCATGTTAAAGAAGTGACTTGGCAGGCATTATGTATATAAGAGAAGTGGGGAGGGTACGACAGTGGGCAGCATGTGCAGGAGGTGAACATGGAGGGTATGTTAGCATGTGCAGGAGAAGCAGGGAGGGTATGATGGTGAACAGAGTGTCAAGTGGAGGAATGGAGAGTAAGAAAGTAGGCAATTTATGTAGGATAGGCATATGGAGGGTAGAACAGCTGGTAGTATGTACAGGAGGTAAATGCATACACACTACATCAGTATACGCAGGGGAAGGAAAAAACAAAAGAACAAAAAAAAAAAAGAACTAT